TCTGCCACGGGGAAGTGTGTGACCCCTATCTCCATGAGTTCAGGCTCTGCCCCAGGATGGCCAAAGGAGGAGGGCCAGAGGCTCCGAAGAAGGTTGTCCAGATGGATGGCCATCGCGATGAGCGCGTCCAGGGAAAGGTTTTCGTCCCGCCACGCCAACTCCGTCTGGACCTCCTCGTGCAGTCCTCTTCGGAATAGCGTGCGGAGCGCTGGCTCATTCCATCCGCTGGAGGCTGCCACGGTCTGGAAGGTGAGGGCGTACTCCACAGTGGTTTGGGCACCCTGCCGGAGTCGGGGGAAGTTGCTCACCTCCTTCTCTGCCCTCCGGTGGATGGTCGAAGACCGCCCTGAACAGAGCCATGAAAACCTCGTAGGCACCCAGCTCGTCCTCTCCTCTCTCCCAGACGGCAGTAGCCCACTCCAACGCCTGTCCAGTCAGCAGGGAAATTACTGTGGCAACCTTGGACCTCTCGGTGGTGGGGGCTCCCATCTGATGTGTGAAATAGAGGGAGCACTGGAGTAGGAAGCCACAGCATTGGGATGGAGTCCCGTCGTATTTGTCGGGGAGGGAGAAATGGGCCTCGCTGACCTGGGCGGACTGCTGAATGGGCTGGGGTGCTGGCTCGCTGGCTCGCTGGCTCGAGTTGTGGTAGAGGGCCCTCCGCTAATTGAAGGTAAATCCTCTCGGGTTGTGTCGATTATTTTGTTTGTTTTCTCGCATTGTTTGTAAATTATTTTGTACATAATGTTGCTGCTACTGTCTCTTATGACCAAAAAGAGCTTCTGGACATCAGAACAGCGATTACTAACCTTGAACTGGACAAATAATTTGTTTTTAATGAATCGGACGAGAGGGATTTGCTCAAGACACCCGACAGAGCCCTCATCCCCATCATTCTCAGGAGAAAGAGACGGAGATATTGCGGAAGAAGATCGGGGTGCCTGATAAGGAGCCGGCGACGAGTGGCTAATCTGCCTTGGCCATTGGTACTATTTGCCAACGTACAATCGCTGGATAATAAAGTGGACGAACTAAAAGCACGTGTATCCTACCAACAGGACATTAAAAACTGTAATATCTTATATTTCACCGAGTCGTGGCTGAACAACAACATGAATAACATACAGCTGGCGGGTGATACACTGTATCGGCAGGATAGAACAGCAGCCTCTGGTAAGACAAGGGGTGGCGGTCTATGTATATTTGTAAACAACAGCTGGTGCACGATATCTAAGGAAGGTATTGCTCGCCTCAGGTAGAGTATCTCATGATAAGCTGTAGACCACACTATCTTCCGGAGAAATTACGAACCATGTAAAAAACAGTTGGTCACTAAAACCGTCTAGAAGGACCATGTAAAAACGGTTGGCTGTTACGCCCTCACCCGTCTGAGTGGTCGGCTGTGAATGCCCTCACCCGCTATATACTTATAACTGATTGGTTTGGTTCTGCCCACTGTAGTGCTGTCCAGTTAGAAGATGATGTTCAGGCCCATCACTGTACTCTTGATAGTCACCACACACACACACACACACACACACACACACACATACACATACACATACACATACACATACACATACACATACACATACACATACACATACACATACACATACACATACACATACACATACACATACACACACACACAGTGTCCAGATGCACATTTCCAAGCACTCGGATTGGTTGGGAATGGCAGGGCTATGATGGGTGAGGGATAACTTGGGTAGGATGAGCAGCCAAACTAACAGGATTTAAGGGAAACTGAAGGGACTGTGTCGAGTCACAAGCAAGTCTCAAGTCACAAGGTCCGAGTCTCAAGTTGAGTCCCAAGTAGAATGGGTCGAGTCTCGAGTCAAGTCCAAAGCTTGTATACTAAGAGCAAGTCAAGTCGAGTCACAAGTTTTTTTCAAGTCACATCTATACATGCAATGACTTCTTCAACTACAAATATGTGTCTATTTATTGAGGCTACCAGACATCCCTTTTTATTATTTTGTCTATTTTGATTATGTAATTGTAAAATAGGGACCTTGTAGCAGTCGTAAGGGCATGAAATCAGCAGAAGGCAAGGCAGAATGTCATTGATAAGAATATTATTAGAATATAATTGGAATATTGTTGAAAAAATGAATAGAAATTAAAACCATATTTATATTTAAAAAATACATCAATTATTTTATAAACCATTGGGTCTTCTCTGTAGGCGTGATGAGGAGATTCTGAATCTTTCCTCCACGGGGGGATGCGTGAGTGGCGTTGCCATAGCATTTCCATTGTTTTGGTCGAGTTCGATTGATCTCTTTAACGCATCTATTTCCAGGGTTAGAGGTTCCAAGCCCGTTCTATTCATTCCATTTCTATGTTTAGCGATCAATAGAGCAGTGGAATTAAGTTCAGGGTGAGTCGTCAGGCAAGAAAACCCTTGTTTCTATCCCAAACCGTTAAAAAATGTGGATTGCCTACATTACCGGAGCTAGGCCTACATTTTTCCCTTTCTACTTGTGGGCCACTAAATATTTGTTGGATAACAAACAACCTAGTCCAGCCATTCTACATTACACAACTGGCTAACAAGCTGGTAACTTGACCACAAGGCTGTGGTTTAAGATGGCAGTGAGACTGTGGGCGGTAGGAAAGAGGCTCCTTGATATACTGTATCTAGGTCTAGAGCTACTCCAGGAGATGTGCTTCAAAAGTATGATTCATATAGGCCTTATGTAGGCTGTAATAAATAAATACATCTAAATACATTAAGTTAATTTAGAGCCCTGTGAATAAGTTGGCTAATGGGGACATTAGCCTACTGTGGAGAGGGATTGGACAAAATAGATATTTGTTAGGCTACGTTAAAGGTTTGAAAGAATTAGAAACGTTTATTTTTATCATGGCAATCAATACATTTTAGAAATTATGCTTTTTTACAATGTTTGGTTATAAAAAATTTTTTTTTTGTCTTTTACATTAATATGAAAGGAAATAAATTCATATACAAATAAAGGACTCGTAAAAAGGTCAAAATAGGTGTAAATCATTTTCTAAATGACACTGAGAAACGTTACCTTGCTTTGGGAGTGGATTAGTAGAGTGAGGCAACACATAATAATCAACAGGTAATCATAATATCATGGCAGAGAAATCAAATCAAAACCAAGTTGAGCTTATTGACATGTTTTCCATAGTGTATAAAGAGTACATGAGAAAAATATTGTTTTAAAAAAAACTACCCCTTTCATAGGTTAATATTTGCATAGCATTATTGCAAGAAAATACCCCGGACAACAGTTCATTGGTTTCTTCAGCATGTACAAAATGACCAGAACAGTATGTTCCTTAACATGAAGAATGCATAGCACACATTTTTGTTCCTCTTGATCCTGTGTTATTAGTAAATACTTAATTTAAATCCTGTTATATATATATATATATATATATATATATATATATATATATATATATATATATATATATATATATATTTATAAATATTTATATACACAGATACAGTTAATCACAATTGTTCTGATTTACCTTATTTTATAGTACTACTGATATTGATTGCTGCATTGTTGGGAAAGCGCTTGCAAGAAAGGCATTTCACTGTACTTGTGCACATGACAATAAAACTTGACAATAGATTTAGAAGAACTCTGGATGGTGATATTGTTATAATACAGTGGTCTGACTGCTTGGAAATGAACTGCATGTTTAAGTACGTCACAATACAATACTACTTTCACTGACCATGTTGCATACAGAGCCCTACTTTTTGCTTTAATCTCAAACGTAACAGTCATGTTTTCATAGTAAGACACAACTGAGAGTTAGTCTTCACATACTGCAGGTCCAAATCTCATACTGTCATAATAAAAGGTAGAATTCTGATTTTTGTAAGATAGCGGTGGGTATTTTAGGTTTCTTTTGTGGAGTGCTTGAAGCACACAGCACAGTTTTGTTCTACTAGGTGCATACTCAGCAGTCAGATACGCCGTTTTCTACGCTCAGTGATACTGCCTTATCTGGGGAGATAACACAATGTACATTATGCCCTATCTAAAGCGAACAGGAACCAGCAAAGGCCCAATGCCTTTATCACAGACCAATTCAGGTCAAACGACATTGAAGTAACCTTTTAAAACCATGCCCATCTAGACTAATAGGCTGTAGTGCTTCAAGATAAGCATGTACCACAATGTTACTAGGCACAGTTAGGAATATGGCAGTGTTGGTGGGCTATGTGTTACGTGTGAAGTATTGTGTGTAGTCCTTTAACTCCACAGCGTACAATAGTGTCTATGGAGCGATCCACATATAGAGACGAGAACTGGTATGAGGTGAGTAAAGTCAGAAGTAATTACATGTCCGTTTTATTAATGTTTATTGCCAAGGACCTCATCACCTGTGTGTGCGCGTGCGTGCGCGTACGTGTTCTTGCGTGTGTGTGTGTGTGTGTGTCTGTTCTTCATTCTTCTTTTCTTTGATGGACAAACGTGTGTGTGTGTGCATGCGCACAGATGTGGATGTGTGGAAGTCTACAGTGTGTGTGTGTGTGTGTGTCAATAAAGTAGCTTTGGTTTCAGCATTCTGCATAATCTTTGTGTTCTGCATATTGTCTTAGTGTTACGCTTCGAACACACCGACTGCGTCTTTGCGTTTTGGTACACCAGAAGTATATTCATTTCCAATGGAACGCTGCGTTTGCCTTGCAGCATTGCGTCGCAGAGGCAGTTGCAGTGCGTTCTGTGTGGTGCATACGTTGGATTTATCGAAGGTATGCGTCAAACTGTATGCGTAAACGGGTTGACAGAAATGGTAGCAGAAGGTGAATGTTGAACTTTTGATGCACACATATCTAGATGATGCTGCATACTATTTAGCGCAATGACGCAGTCGGTGTGTTCAAAACGTTAGGGCCATATCCAGGAGTGTTTTGTTGTCATGAAGACAGAGTTGGGGTATATCATGGGTGGGTGGGTGGATAAGGTCAGAGAGTGTCTTTATGAGTGGCCCTTGTCGTAAGCCTTCACCATGCGTTTGATTTGGAACAGTTTGTGTCTCAGCCTGCGACACTCCAGCTTCTTAGCCTGGTAATCTGGTGTCTGAGGAGGAGAGAGAAAACAGTTATTTTTTAATCGTCTATGTTCCATTATGGGGTGATAGAGGTAATGCTTTATAATGTACTAGCGGTACATTATTGGAAACTAATAATTTGATTCAATGCAATTCTACCCTCCTGCAAATAAAACATTTGTTTATCTGTTCAGCTTTTTGTTCTCTGGATATACCAATATGATCAATTCCGGAGCGTTTAAAAAACTCCCATAGGCCTATTTCCTGTATGATCATGGTATTTTTTATATTTTTTATTCAATGTTGTGATTGGCCGACCATGAACCCATGTATCCATTAAAAACAGTGTATGAGGGATGCAGACTAACTTTTTCCCCTGGTGGCACTGGTGCCATTAACATTCAGTTGATGGCAACAGCCCATGATTTGGTGGCACCAACATTTTGTCTCAGCATCACACAATAGAAAAAATTAGTAATAATGTTATACACTCTTAGAAAAAAGGGTTCCAAAAGGGTTCTTCGTTTGTCCCCATGAGATAACCCTGTTTTGTTCCAGGTGGAACCCTTTTTGGTTCGAAAAGGGTTCCACCTGGAACCAAAATGGGTTCCTTAAAGGGTTCTCCTTTGGGGACAAACTAAGAACCCTTTAACGTTCTAGATAGCACCTTTTTTTCTAAGAGTGTAAAGTAATTCACAGTGCTGAAGAGCGTAGCGTGTAAAAATGGTCTGTCCTCGGTTGCAACACTCACTACAGAGTTCCAAACTGCCTCTGGAAGCAACGTCAGCACATTAACTGTTCTTCGGGAGCTTCATGAAATGGGTTTCCATAGCTGAGCAGCCACACACAAGCCTTAGATAACCATGAGCAATGCCAAGCGTCGACTGGAGTGGTGTAAAGCTCGCCGCCATTGGACTCTGGAGCAGTGAAAACGCGTTCTCTGGAGTGATGAATCACGCTTCACCATCTGGCAGTTCGATGGAAGAATCTGGATTTGGCGGATGCCAGGAGAACACTACCTGCCAGAATGCATAGTGCCAACTGTAAAGTTTGGTGGAGGAGGAATAATGGTCTGGGACTGTTTTTCATGGTTTGGGCTAGGCCCCTTAGTTCCATTGAAGGGAAATCTTAATGCTACAATGACATTCTAGACGATTCTGTGTTTCCAATTTTGTGGCAACAGTTTGGGGAAGGCCCTTTCCTGTTTCAGCATGACAATGCCCCCGTGCACAAAGTGAAGTCCATACAGAAATTGTTTGTCGAGATCGGTGTGTAAGAAATTGACCAGCCTGCACAGAGCCCTGACCTCAACCCCATCAAATACCTTTGGGATTAATTGGAATGCCGACTGCGAGCCAGGCCTAATCGCCCAACATAAGTGCCCGACCTCACTAATGCTCTTGTGGTTGAATGGATGCAAGTCCCCGCAGCAATGTTCCAACATCTAGTGGAAAGCCTTCCCAGAAGAGTGAGGCTGTTTTGGCAGCAAAGCGGGGACGAACTCCATTTTAATGGCCATGATTTTGGAATTAAATGTTCGACGAGCAGGTATACACATACTTTTGTCAATGTAGTGTGTTTTGATGTGCAACACCTAAACCAGTGAGGCAGGAAATTTGGGTTGACAATTAGGCTTTTATTGCTATTATTTTAATGCAAAAATAGGGCTCCATAGTTACAGATTTATTTTTTTCAATAGAAATTAATTTGCTTACATCTTGTTGTGTAAAAATATCATATATGCTAATTCACTTGGGACTAATCACTGGGGAAGGGAAAACCCAAAACAAAAACAACAACAGTCTCCAGTTTTTTTTGCGCAATTGCATTTTTAAATGTTGTACAATAAGAATGCATTTTTCACTTCCTCCCCTTCTCTCCATCAACACTGGCTGACTTACCATTAGGTAGAAGAGGCAATTGCCTCAGGCCTCACATCATCAAGGGGCCTCATGAGCTTGGCATAAAACAAATATTATATATAGATATAGATATAGATATAGATATAGATATAAATACAGTACCAGTCAAAAGTTTGGACACTCATTCAAGGGTTTTTCTTTATTTTTACTATTTTCTACATTGTAGAATAATAGTGAAGACATCAAAACTATGAAATAAAACATATGGATTCATGTAGTAACCAAAAAAGTGTTAAATAAATCAAAATATATTTTATATTTGAGATTCTTTAAAGTAGCCACCCTTTGCCTTGGTATTCAGAAAGTATTCAGACACTTTGACTTTTTCCACATTTTGTTACGTTACAGCTTTTTTTCAAAAATTGTTGAAATTGGGTTTTTCCCCCTCACAATACCCCATAATGACAAAGTAAAAACAGGTAAAAAAAATTAAATTAAAATAATGAAATGAAATATCACATTTACGTAAGTATTCAGACCCTTTACTCAGTACTTTGTTGAAGCACCTTTGGCAACGATTACATCATCGAATCATAAGTCTGAATACTTACAGTATGTAAATGTGATATTTCCGTTTTTGATGTTTAATAAATATGCAAAAATGTCTAAAAACCTGTTTTTGCTTTGTCATTATGGGGTATTGTGTGTAGATTGTTGAGGAAAAAACAAACATTTTATCACATTTTAGAATAAGGTTGTAACGTATCAAAATGTGGAAAAAGTAAAGAGGTCTGAATACTTTCCGAATGCACTGTATATATATATATATATATATATATATATATATATATATATATATATGTATATATAAGCTCAGCAAAAAAAATAAACGTCCTCTCACTGTCAACTGCATTTATTTTCAGCAAACTTAACGTGTAAATATTTTTATGAATATCAAAAGTAACAGTCAGTATCTGGTTTGGCCACCAGCTGCATTAAGTACTGCAGTGCATCTCCTCCTCATGGACTGCACCAGATGTGCCAGTTCTTGCTGTGAGATGTTACCCCACTCTTCCACCAAGGCACCTGCAAGTTCCTGGACATTTCTGGGGGGACTGACCCTAGCCCTCACCCTCCGATCCAACAGGTCCCAGACGTGCTCAATGGAATTGAGATCAGGGCTCTTCGCTGGCCATGGCAGAACACTGACATTCCTGTCTTGCAGGAAATCACGCACAGAACGAGCAGTATGGCTGGTGGCATTGTCATACTGGAGGGTCATGTCAGGATGAGCCTGCAGGAAGGGTATCACATGAGGGAGGAGGATGTCTTCCCTGTAACGCACAGCGTTGAGATTGCCTGTAATGATAACAAGCTCAGTCCGATGATGCTAAGACACACCGCCCCAGACCGCCCCATGTGGTCCTCTTGTAGCTCAGCTGGTAGAGCACGGCGCTTGTAACGCCAGGGTAGTGGGTTTGATCCCCGGGACCACCCATACACAAAAATGTATGCACGCATGACTGTAAGTCGCTTTGGATAAAAGCGTCTGCTAAATGGCATATTATATTATTATATGATGGACCCTCCATGTTTTCATAACTGTGACCTTAATTGCCCACCGTCTGTAAGCTGTTAGTGTCTTAACGACCATTCCACAGGTGCATGTTCATTAATTGTTTATGGTTCATTGAACAAGCATGGGAAACAGTGTTTAAACCCTTTACAATGGAGATCTGTGAAGTTATTTTGATTTTTACGAATTATCTTTGAAAGACAGGTATATATATACAGTGCTGCTTGAAAGTATGTGAACCCCTTGTGCAATTACAGATTTTTTCAGTTTTTACCATGAAATCTTCCTTTAATCAGAACAAGTCCTTTTGATCTGACATAACATGTTTATATTTACCAATACCATTTGTTGGTGTAGAGGAAATCATGCATGTAGTAGAAAAACAAAATAAAAATGGAATTAGTGCAGGTGCAAAAATAAGTGAACCCCAAGTTGCATTGGTTAAATCAAGGAGGTAAGTAGAATCAGGTGGGTAAATAATTAGCTACCAAATAAAACAATCAAAGGAGAGATCATTAGGAAAGAGTTTGGGCGGGACTCTGATAAATAGAGATAAGAAACCTGGTCAGTTTGGCGTTACCCATCCAGGTGAATGCAAAGCACACCATGCCGGGAGAAAAGGAGATATCAGAGGACAGGGTAATGAGAGCACATCAGTCTAGGGAAGGCTATCAAATCATCTCAAAAAGATTTGAGCTCCATCTGTCCACCGTGAGGCAAATAATTTACAAATGGAGAGCATTTAACATGACAGCAACTCGGCCTAGAAGTGGAAGCCCTTCCAAAATATCTCCAAGAGCCACAAGAACAATAATAAATCAGGTGAAAGCCAACCCAAACATAACATCTAGAGATTTGCAGACCTCCCTTGCTGCATATCAGGTAACTGTGCATGCTTCAACAATAAGAAGAACACTGAATCGAAATGCCATTCATGGGAGGGTTACTAGGAAGAAGCCTCTGCTGTCACATTTTCTATAGGATTGAGGTCAGGGCTTTGTGATGGCCACTCCAATACCTTGACTTTGTTGTCCTTAAGACATTTTGCCACAACTTTGGAAGTATGCTTGGGGTCATTGTCCATTTGGAAGACCCATTTGCGACCAAGCTTTAACTTCCTGACTGATGTCTTGAGATGTTGCTTCAATATATCCACATAATTTTCGTTCCTCATGATGCCATCTATTTTGTGAAGTGCACCAGTCACTCCTGCAGCAAAGCACCCCCACAGCTTGATGCTGCCACCCCCGTGCTTCACAGTTGGGATGGTGTTCTTCGGCTTGCAAGCACCCCCTTTTTCCTCCAAACATAACGATGGTCATTATGGCCAAACAGTTCTATTTTTGATTCATCAGACCAGAGGACATTTCTCCAAAAAGTACGATCTTTGTCCACATGTGCAGTTGCAAACCGTAGTCTGGCTTTTTTATGGCGGTTTTGGAGCAGTGGCTTCTTCCTTGCTGAGCGGCCTTTCAGGTTATGTTGATATAGGACTCGTTTTACTGTGGATATAGATACATTTGTACATGTTTCCTCCAGCATCTTCACAAGGTCCTTTGCTGTTGTTATGGGATTGATTTGCACTTTTTGCACCAAGTATGTTAATCTCTAGGAGACAGAACGCGTCTCCTTCCTGAGCGGTATGATGGCTGCGTGGTCCCATGGTGTTTATACTTGCGTACTATTGTTTGTACAGATGAACGTGGTACCTTCAGGCGTTTGGTAATTGCTCCCAAGAATAAGCCTATCAGAAGATTCTAAAGCCATGACATCATTTTCTGGAATTTTCCAAGCTGTTTAAAGGCACAGTCAACTTAGTGTATGTAAACTTCTGACCCACTGGAATTGTGATACAGTGAAATAATCTGTCTGTAAACGATTGTTGGAAAAATGACTTGTGTCATGCACAAAGTAGATCTCCTAACCGACTTGCCAAGACTACATTAAATCTAAAAAAGAGTGCCAAAATTAACACTGCTACTAGCTCACGTTTGTTGCCTATGTTTTAGGCCTTGTGCTTATTTGACTCATTATATAACTTGCTTAATTTGACAGCATTATTTGAACGGATTTGAGGGTACGTTTAAGAGTTGGGGAAAAGAGGGCAAGTGGTCATCGTGAGTTGCTGTTGAAGATTTTACGTACCGCCATAGACTACAAGCGCAGCAGCGGGGTTGATACTGTACCATGGATTACTGCATGTTGCAAAATGAATATTACTATTTTTATGCATAATTGCCATGGTCATTTGGAATGTCCAGTCAATGAGCGTTATGGGTAATATAGACCTAGTCATTCTACAGATAAAAAATGGGGCTACAAACGCTTACATCAAATGCTCTATGTCAGTATCATCTCCCGTAGTAAGGGTACCATTTCAAACAAAAAAACGGTATTACCATCTCATAATAAAACAAATATCCATCAAATAATAAAAAGAGAAAGTCGTCAAAGATGGCTAAAAGCCCTCATTTTTATTTAGACGACTTTTGTCCAGTGAGCTTTGCAGCCCAAAGGACACTTAGCCTACGTAACAGGGAGCTGGTGGATAGTATGGGACCTAACGTCTCCTCCTGCCAAATCTCCTCTTGCGCCTCACGGTTCGAGTGGCTCGACGCCTCCAGCGGACTGGGCGAGAAGTGGATCATCTGCATCTGGGCATGACTATTGTAATATCTACTGAGCGGCTGGTCCCGCACTTTTATAGGCTTTGCCTTGGGAGTGAAATGACATCATAATAATGGCATTGGTAACGGTGCATTCCCCCCCCAAAAAACACTGTCGATGTCACGTCTCCTCCCGTTGCTCCCCTCCGGCACTCTGATTCGCTGGTCTACTGAGCCACCGGTCTGAGCGCACAACCTCGGCAACACCGGAATGGAAACCCAACACCCTAATCTGTACACAATTGGCGCCGGAGAAGATGGCTGCCGTTTTACAGCCCTCTAACCGATTGTACTATTATGTGTGTTTTTCCGCATTATTTGTAATTTATTTTGTACATAATGTTTCTGCCATCGTCTCTTATAACCAAAAAGAGCTTCTGGATATCAGGACAGCGATTACTCACCTCGTATTGGACGAAGATTTTGGTGGCCGCGAAGGATATCCTACAGACACCCGACAAGGCCCAAATCCCCGTCATTCGCATGAGGAAGAGACGGAGATATCGTGGACGTAGGTCAGGGTGCCTTGTAAGGATCCGACGGCGAGTGAGTAAACTGCCGCTCCCATCAATCCTATTAGCCAATCTTCAATCATTGGAGAAAAAATTGGATGACCTATGATTACGGTTATCCTACCAACGGGACATTAAAAACTGTAATATCTTATGTTTCACCGAGTCGTGGCTGAACGACGACATGGACAACATTCAGCTAGCGGGCTGCTTCGGCAAGATAGAACGGCTGACTCCGGTAAGACAAGGGGTGGTGATCTGTGTATATTTGTAAACAACAGCTGGTGCACAAAATCAAATACTAAGGAAGTCTCAAGGTTTTGCTCGCCTGAGGTAGACTATCTTATGATAAGCTGTAGACCACACTATTTACCAAGAGAGTTTTCATCTATATTTTTCATAGCTGTCTATTTACCACCACAAACCAATGCTGGCACTAAGATTGCACTGAATGAGCTGTATAAGGCCATAAGTCATCAGGAAAACGCTCATCCAGAGGCAGCGCTCCTAGTGGCCGGGGACTTTAATGCAGGGAAACTTCAATCCGTTCTACCTAATTTCTACCAGCATGTTAAATGTGCAACCAGAGGGGAAAAAAACTCTAGACCACCTTTACTCCACACACAGAGACGCATACAAAGCTCTCCCTCGCCCTCCAAATCTGACCATAACTCAATCCTCCTGATTCATGCTTATAAGCAAAAACTAAAGCAGGAAGCACCAGTGACTCGGTTAATAAAAAAGTGGTCAGATGACGCAGATGCTAAGCTACAGGACTGTTTTGCTAGCACAGACTGGAACATGTTCCGGGATTCTTCAGGATAACAACCTCTCCCTCAACGTGACCAAGACAAAGGAGATGATTGTGGACTACAGGAAAAAAAAGAGGACTGAGCACGCCCCCTTTCTCATCGACGGGGCTGTAGTGGAACAGGTTGAGAGCTTCAAGTTCCTTGGTGTCCACATCACCAACAAACTATCATGGTCCAAACACACCAAGACAGTCGTGAAGACGGCACGACAAAGCCTATTCCCCCTCAGGAGACTGAAAATATTTGGGTTGGGTCCTCAGATCCTCAAAAAGTTATACAGCTGCACCATCGAGAGCATCCTGACTGGTTGCATCACCGCCTGGTATGGCAACTGCTTGGTCTCCGACTGCAAGGCACTACAGAGGGTAGTGCGTACGGCCCAGTACATCACTGGAGCCAAGCTTCCTGCCATCCAGGACCTCTATACCAGGCGGTGTCAGAGGAAGGACCTCAAAATTGTCAAAGACTCCAGCCACCCTAGTCATAGACTGTTCTCTCTGCTACCGCACGGCAAGCAGTACCGGAGTGCCAAGTCTAGGTCCAAAGGACTTCTCAACAGCTTCTACCCCCAAGCCATAACACTCCTGAACAGCTAATCATGGCTACCCGTACTATTTGCACTGCCCCCCCACCCCATCTTTTTACGCTGCTGCTACTCTGTTAATTATTTATGCATAGTCACTTTAACTCTGCCCACATGTACATATTACTTCAACTACCTCAACTAGCCGGTGCCCCCGCACATTGACTCTGCACCGGTACCCCCCTGTATATATAGCCTCACTAATGTTATTTTATTTTACTTCTGCTCTTTTTTTCTCAACACTTTTTTGTTGTTGTTTTATTTTACTTTTTTATTAAAAATAAATGCACTGTTGGTTAAGGGCTGTAAGTAAGCATTTCACTGTAATGTCTGCACCTGTTGTATTCGGCGCATGTGCCAATACAAATTGATTTGATTTGATTTGATCATCTCCAGCGCACCTGCACCTCATCATCTCATCACTACCCCTATTTAGCCCTGGACTGTTCTGTAGGATGTTGTGTGTGATTGTTTTGCTTCGTGTCATATACTATATCTTTGTCATTGTTTGAGTAAACCTTGACCTTGTTAATTCCTCCGTCTGCGTCCTGCCTCTTCGTATACTCAGTACTCGTCACAGAATCACACACCAAACGAAAATGGATGCAGCAGGAGTTTCCCAATGCCTCGACCAGCACCAGCAGCAGCTTGCCCAGTTGAACGTCGCCATGCAGGAAGTGCTCCAAACTCTGCACAATCTGCCCAGCGCTCCGGTTCTACCTCAGGGAGCAGCGAGTGCCTCCAATCCACCTGTCCCCGGGCTATCACCCACTTCTGCGGGAACCCTCACCCTACCGGAGCGCTTTGATGGTAAAACTACTAAATGTAGAGGCTTCCTTCTACAGGTTTCACTTTATCTGGCGCGTCCATCGAGCAGCTACGGGGGGCCCGGTACTTTACCAAGTTGGACCTGAGGAGTGCCTACAACCTGATCCGAATCTGGGAAGGAGACGAGTGGAAGACAGCATTCAGCACTACCTCAGGCCACTATGAATAGTGTGTCATGCCCTACAGCCTCGCCAACGCACCATCTGTGTTCCAGTCCTTAGTCAATGACGTGTTCCAGGACATGCTGAGGAGACAGGTGGTGGTGTACATCGACAATATCCTGATCTACTCAGCTACATTCAAGGAGCACGTCAGGGACATCCAAGCTGTCCTACTCTGCCTCCAGGAACACAGCCTGATGGTGAAAGGGGAGAAATGCGAATTCCACCAACAGGCCATCTCCTTCCTAGGATACAGGATCAGTCCTCAGAGGGTGTTAATGGAAGGAGTAAAGACGGACGCCATCAGGTCATGGCCAGTTCCCACCACCATCAAGGTCCTACAGAACATCCTGGGCTTCACCAATTTCTACCTGCATTTCATCAGGTCATTCAGCTCCATAGCTGCCCCTCTCACCTCTCTCCTTAAGGGTGGGCCTCAGAAGCTGACCTGGAACCCTGAGGATGACGATGGCTTCAAGAGGCTGAAGGAGAGGTTCACCACAGCGCCCATCCTAAAACCCAAATCCTTCTCGTCCTTTCATCCTGGGAGGTGGACGCATCGTAGGAGGGCGTGGGTGTGGTCCTCTCTCAGCGGCACGCTAAGCCAGAATTGTTTTTCTCAAAAACACTTACCCCCGCAGAGAGGAACTATGGGTTTGGAGACAGGGAGCTGTTGGTGGTGGTCCTCGCTATGGAGGAATGGAGACACTGGCTGGAGGGCGCAGTCCATCCATTCCGGATTCTTACTGACCACCGGAATTTGGAGCACATACGGGCAGTGACACGGATGAACTCTCATCAAGCCAGGTGGGCCAATTTCTTACTTAATTTCAATTCATTCTGTCCAACCGCCCAGGATCCCAGAATTTGAAAGCTTACGCACTCTCCAAGATGCACCATACCGGAGAAAGGAAGGATCTGGGGGGCCCTATCCTGCCCTTGTCTCTCATCGTTGCGCCTGTCATTTGGGATGTGGATGAAGACATCCGCCTGGTGGCTCAGGAGGACCCGGCGCCTGCCAACGCCCCTCCGGGGTGCGTGTATGTACCCACCAGTGTCCGGGACCGCCTGCTGATCTGGGCGCACCCAATACTTACGGCAGGGCACTCCGGTATTACGCGTACCCTGCATTCTCTAGCACAAAAGTACAGGTGGCCCACCTTGGCTTCTGATGTGTCCCGCTATGTCAACTCCTGTTCCGTATGTGCCCAAACGAAGACACCTTGGAACGCACCGGCAGGCAAACTTTTTCCTCTCCCAGTGCCTCAGCGACCTTGGTCACACCTGTCCATAGACTTTGTCACTGACCTTCCACGTTCTGACGGCTTCACAACAGTCATGGTGGTCGTAGATCGGTTCTCCAAATCATGCAGTTTTTTGCCACTAACTGGTCTTCCTTCTGCTCCCCAGGTCACTGAGGTCCTGTTCCAACAGGTCTTCCGGCATTATGGACTTCCGGAGGACATCGTCTCGGACCGTGGCCCCCAATTCACCTCCCGAGTGTGGAAGGCTTTTCTGGAGAAGATCGGGGCCATGGCCAGCCTCACTTCCGGGTATAGGCCTCAGTCGAATAGGCAGGTGGAGCGCATGAACCAGGAGCTGGGGAGGTTTCTTCGTTGCCACTGTCATGACCGGCAGGGTGAGTGGGCGAGGTTTCTTCCCTGGGCAGAATATGCCCAGAACTCCCTTGTTCACTCCTCCACGGGGCTCACTGCCTTCCAGTGTGTCCTGGGATACCAGCCGGCCCTGGCCCCTTGGATACCCAGCCAGACCGATGCACCCGCTGTCGACGAGTGGTTCCGGACAGGTCTGGGACGCCGCCCATGTCCATCTCCAGATGGCCATTCGTCGGCAGAAGGACCAAGCCGACCGCCACCGCAGTGAGGCCCCTGTATTCCAGCCTGGGGATCGTGTCTGGCTGTCCACAAAAAACCTCCCTCTCCGCCTGCCCTGCAAGAAACTGAGGCCCCGGTTTGTGGGGCCGTTTAAGGTCCTCCGGCAGATAAATGAGGTATCGTACCAGCTGCTCCTTCCCCCTCAGTACCATGTCACCCACTTTTCATGTGTCTCTCCTCAGGCCGATGGTTCTTGGTCCTCTGGCGGATGCCGTCCCCCGGGGTACGCCTCCTCCGCCCCTGGACATTGACGGGAGTCCGGCGTATGCGGTGAGGGATCTGCTGGACTCCAGATTCCGTGGGGGACGGCTCTATTACCTGGTGGACTGGGAGGGTATGGTCCTGAGGAGAGGAGCTGGGTTCCGGCTGTGGATGTTCTGGTCCCCAACCCTGAACGGCCCGCTCCTCATCCTCGGGGTCATCCTGGCCGGCGACGTCCAGCGGCTGGAGCCGTGCATCCGGGTGGGGTGGTACTGTCACATCTCCTCCCGTTGCTCTCCTCTGGCGCTCTGATTCGCCGGTCTACTGAGCCACCAGTTGGAGCGCACCACCTCGGCAACACCGGAATGGAAACCCAATGCACCCTAATCATCTCCAGCGCACCTGCACCTCATCATCTCATCACTACCCCTATTTAGCCCTGGACTGTTCTGTAGGATGTTGTGTGTGATTGTTTTGCTTCGTGTCATGTACTCTATCTCTGTAAACCTTGACCTTGTTAATTCCTGCGTCCTGCCTCTTCGTATACTCAGTACTCGTCACTGTCAAATATAAAGTGGGCAATACCATTTGAGAGAATGACATGCTTCTTTTGAGCCTAAAATGAAAGAAAACAAATCTGCACAAACTTGTAGAAGGAGATCCTGCCGCAGTTTAGAATCCTTAGCATATTATAATATAGATTACACATGTGTAATAGAAAGTGTAACTGAAATGTCTGCTCACCCTCTTAATGTCTTTCAGTCGATTATGTTCCTCTGCCACAACCTGAAATGAAGAATAAGAAGGTTAGTTTGCAGTATTTACACAGTATTTCTCCATGGTTCAGCATATGTCTCTCAGTGCAGGCTGGTAAAGGGACGACAGCTCATAGTAATGAGCCTGTCCTCCCATTTAAATTGACACCAGCCTTCACTGATCTATCTCTGGTATCTCACTTGGTACTTGGCAGAGGTCTCGTCCAGTGTGTCCAGCTGCCTGCTGAGTTTGTTCATCTGGTCACTGATGTCGTCCATCTCAGCACACAGATGTTTGTACTCCCTCAGGTCGGTGTCAAACTCCCTCTTGTACTCCTGACGCTGGCCGTCTGACGTTATGTCTGGGTAGACGCTGAAGGGAGGGAGGGAGGGAGACAGAGAGAGAGAGAGAGGGGGGGAGAGAGTGAGAGAGGGGGAGCAAGGGGCAAAATATTATTGCAAGGCAATAATGTTATCACTACTTTTATAACATACAGTATGTCTGCATATTTTATCAATAAAACTCCACTGTACTACTATAATATGTAATACTATATGCAATAGTTTTATCATTTTCTGTCTTTCTGTATTTATATGTTGCACTCAGCATATTTCACAGAGTAGCTTCACTTTCTTTTTGGCCACTTCTCGACCACTACAAGAACTGAGTGTTCCTGTAATACACAGTACAGCAGGCCAGGGCTTCATATCTTCTGTTTTACACCAGTCAAACAATGATGTCCAGATCTCAATCCTGTCCCCAGGGCCCTTTCAGTCTCAGCAAGAGGCATGGTGAAACCAAATACAGCTGCTATCTCACTAACTAACAACCTAACCACTGACCCCCGCATATTAAATCTTTGGCCCAATTCTCTCATTATTTCCAATTACAAAGCTATGTGGAATGGCATACCAGGAAAGATGTGTTACTCTACTGGACAGAACAAGGCCAGCGGAGACCCCAGACTGCTACCATGTGTGTAACCTCTCAGACTAATATGGCTCTAGTTTTGTGTGTGTATGAGTGCTTACCTATCTGAGTATACATGTATGTCTCAGCTCTCCCACTAACATGACATTGTTGCAGGTGTGTGTGAGTATGTGTGAATGAGTGTGAACGTTTCTGCCTGTGTGTGTGTGTGCGTCAGGGTTTCTGTGGCGCTGGACAACGTGACCGGGAAGATTTTAATTTACCAGCCATTTGAGAAATGTAACGGACCCAAATGCATTGGGTGCATAACCCATTACAGTGTCCACTCACGGTGCTCAGAATGACAGAAATCACATTTACATTATGGTAATGCTCCTTAACAGAACATGCAACTCATGTAACGTAGCAGCCAATAAAATGTCATTTTCAAACATTTGCCAAAATGCCATTCGCGGGAAAACCCCATTCTAAACAGCGCACCTGGGAAAACACCATTCTAAACAGCGCACCTAATAGCAGTTCCATATGTGACAGAGATGACAATCTAAATCTAAAGATGCAACAACTAGGATGGGTTGCTAGCATTACTAGAATTGTGCTTTTGGCTTCTGGACAACGACAGAAAGTTGATATGAAAAGCAATAGAACAGGAGAGAAATTGCATTGAAGGGGAGGGGTGCGTGGTGATGTAAGCGAATCTCTCCCCAGAATAGCTCAGCTGTCTCCCGCCAATTCTTGCGCATTCATTGTTTCATTGTGTGAATTGTTTGCCCTTTTATAAAAATGTATTAATTCCCCATTACATATGTCACCAGCAGTAAATGTACAGTTAATCCCCGTCATTTGGTTACATTAATTTCTGTTAATGCATGTATTAATTACAGTCATTTACCGTTCTCATTCTCGGAGTGGAAATGTGGTTTGCAGAGTTCACAACCTGCTACACTTGTGAGAAACACGTTTTGGTTTATTTCATAACCATCATTTACGAGATTTGAAAAACATGTTTATTGTCTTGTTTGGAGTGCTCCATGTGAGCAATGAGCATGGTTTCTCTGTCCTGCTAATGTTGAGGGAGCGCACGCGCCTGAGTGCTGTGCGGAAATGTAGGAAAGTGTTTGTTTTTAAATCCATTGGTAATGATAATATATTAAAACTATAGTTACTCACCCTAAGCTATTTGAAAAATCGTTCCAACAACCTCCCCCTCGATAATCACCAATCCTCGGTGTGAAAGAGCAATGGAAGTTATAGGCCTACTGCTGCATTGGCCTATAGGCTATGAGTTCCATGTGCTCATGTCTTTAGCCGCCAATGGATCATGGTATATCAATGTCTCCATATGGCAGAGGTTGGTGACTTTTCACTTTTAGATTTGTATCATTTTAATTCAGATTTGTATGATTAACCACGTGACAATGATTTTGAGAAACAATAATGTTATTCCTGAAATGAAACTGTTCCACATAAATGAGCATATGAAATTCATAACTGGCACGCAGAATGCTAGAAATGGTAGGATAATTGTAAGCTTCCTCAAACGTGAAACTCATGCTCCGCCTATGAAGTCTTTATAAAATAATTGCCTCCATGTTTCCATGTTGGATTTTGCCTATAGGTTACTTTGAAGCAAGGTAAGACATGCCTCATAATATGAAATAAAACATTTAGGTTTCAAACAATTAAGTATTTTTTCAAAATGTGTACTGCCTTCTGCTCACATTGTAAAGTGGTGGGTGACACGCTGATAGCATGTTGCCTGCACTTGAATGGTGAATGGGAGCCACGCTTCAATTACCAGTTAAGAAATAAAAATAGTAGCTCTTTTTAATCATGCATCAGAACTGTTTTTAACACATGATTGCATTTCGAATTGTTGCACAATGAATGGGCTTATAAAAAAGCACGTTTTACTCCAGGAGCAGCAGGAGAAATCCAGCTCAAAATAGGCTCTGTATGCTGTGCACTTGTGATAGTTGTTGGATAAATAAGATACATGATGACTAACGAAAATACACACAGACCAATTTAATTCCACTTAAATATGCAAATTAACCTATAGACCGATAAGCATGATGGTCAAATGTATTTATATCGACTGGTATTTCCATCAATTAGCATTATTTTGCAATGGGATGTTTTTTCTCCCGTTCATTTTGGCCGACAACAGTTTTATTTATCGTCTTTTCAGCCGACAGAAACCCTGGTGTGCATGTGTGTGTGTGTGCGTGTGTGTGTGTGTGCCTGCCCAACTTCCTTCCTGCATGTGTGTCACCTCTCCCACTGCTGTGAGTCCAGTTCGTTGCCAGTCTCTCCTCCCGTGGTGTACTCTGTCTCATATTGTGATTCGTCCAGCTCAGGGTTGCGTCGGCGCCTCTTCCCCCTGTTGGCTGAGGGCTTCTTTATCCCCCCTGCCTCCTCAGAGGGGATAGAACTGGCCCCCTGGGAGGGCTGGTCAGAGGGAAGGCTAGTCGGACACTCCAAATACCTGAAGCACAACAATAAGATTCAATATAAACTCAACATGGTATAGACTCTGAATACTTCAATACTGTATTTTACATTTTAGTCATTTAGCAGACGCTCTTATCAAGAGCAACTTACAGTTAGTGAGTGCATACATTATTAAATTTTTTTCATACTGCCCCCCGTGGGAAACGAACCCACAACCCTGGCGTTGCAAACACCATGCTCTACCAACTGAGCTACATCCCTGCCGGCCATTTCCTCCCCTACCCTGGACGACGCTGGGCCAATTGTGCGCCGCCCCATGGATTTCCCGGTTGCGGCCGGCTACGACAGAGCCTGGATTCAACCCAGGATCTCTAGTGGCACAGCTAGCACTGCGATGCAGTGCCTTAGACCACTGCGCCACTCATGTGAATAGGTCTAGCCAAACTTGGTCCTGGGGCCCTCCCTGGGTGCACGTTTTGGTTTTTGCCTTAGTACTACACAGCTGATTAAAATAATCAAAGCTTGATGATGAGTTGGTTATTTGAATCACCTATGTAGTGCTAGGGCAAAAAACAAAACGTGCACCCAGGGGGGGCCCCAGGACCGAGTTTGGGAAACTGCACCAAACTCAGAATAGGATATAGGCCAAGGACTAGATTAAGTGTATTTATACCGGGAGTTTTCCTTTATTGTAGGCTACTACTTTCACCACTTTTGGTCTTGAAATCTTTGGTTGTTTACTACACTACATTACTCACTCTGTTTAGCACATGGCCTCACATGTGATTCCTTAAAGATATGGGTGGGGCTAAGGCTTAAGAGGGTGTGAACAATGCTAAATGGGTGTAGACAAAGAAGAGCTTTCTAGTAGGTGTACCAAAACCTTTAAGGGCCATTTTCTCAAAAGTGGGGTTACAAGTTTATCAACTTTCAAAGCAGAATTACTTTCCCTCAACTGCAGTGTATAATAAACCATTTTGTAGCTCTGATTCTCTACTTTTATCCAATGTAACAAAAACAATTTAAAATGTTGCTACATAAGACTGAATCGAAATTGATATATATATTTGACGGCTGCCAAAAACAGTTATATAGTCTAAATACAGTTGAAGTCGGAAGTTTACATACACTTAGGTTGGAGTCATTAAAACTCGTTTTTCAACCTCTCCACAAATTTCTTGTTAACAAACTATAGTTTTGGCAAGTTGGTTAGGACATCTACTTTGTGCATGACACAAGTAATTTTTCCAACAATTGTTTACACACAGATTATTTCACTTATAATTCACTGTATCACAATTCCAGTGGGTCAGAAGTTTACATACACTAAGTTGACTGTGCCTGTAAACAGCTTGGAAAATTCGAGAAAATTATGTCATGGCTTTAGAAGCTTCTGATAGGCTAATTGACATAATTTGAGTCAATTGGAAATGTACCTGTGGATGTACCACGTTCATCTGTACAAACAATAGTACGCAAGTATAAACACCATGGGACCGCGCAGCCGTCATACCGCTCAGAAAGGAGACGCGTTCTGTCTTCTAGAGAGGAACGTACTTTGGTGCGAAAAGTGCAAAACAATCCCAGAACAACAGCAAAGGACCTTGTGAAGATGCTGGAGGAAACATGTACAAATGTATCTATATCCACAGTAAAACGAGTCCTTATATCGACATAACCTGAAAGGCCGCTCAGCAAGGAAGAAGCCACTGCTCCAAAACCGCCATAAAAAAGCCAGACTACGGTTTGCAACTGCACATGGGGACAAAGATCGTACGTTTTGGAGAAATGTCCTCTGGTCTGATTAAACAAAAATAGAACTGTTTGGCCATAATGACCATCGTTCTGTTTGGAGGAAAAGGGGGGAAACTTGCAAGCCAAAGAACACCATCCCAACCGTGAAGCACGGGGGTGGCAGCATCATGCTGTGGGGGTGCTTTGCTGCAGGAGGGACTGGTGCACTTCACAAAATAGATGGCATCATGAGGAAGGAAAATTATGTGGATATATTGAAGCAACATCTCAAGACATCAGTCAGGAAGTTAAAGCTTGGTCGCAAATGGGTCTTCCAAATGGACAATGATCCCAAGCATACTTCCAAAGTTGTGGCAAAATGGCTGAAGGACAACAAAGTCAAGGTATTGGAGTGGCCATCACAAAGCCCTGACCTCAATCCTATAGAACATTTGTGGGCAGAACTGAAAAAGCGTGTGCGAGCAAGGAGGCCTACAAACCTGACTCAGTTACACCAGCTCTGTCAGGAGGAATGGGCCAAAATTCACCCAACTAATTGTGGGAAGCTTGTGGAAGGCTACCTGAAACGTTTGACCCAAGTTAAACAATTTAAAGGCAATGCTACCAAATACTAATTGAGTGTTTGTCAGCTTCTGACCCACTGGGAATGCAATGAAATGCAATGAAATAAATAAAAGCTGAAATAAATCACTCTCTAATATTATTCTGACATTTCACATTCTTAAAATAAAGTGGTGATCCTAACTGACCTAAGACAGGGAATTTTTACTAGGATTAAATGTTGAAATGTATTTGGCTAAGGTGTATGTAAACTTCCGACTTCAACTGTATATGATCATAAGCACATGGTCTGGAGGGCTTTTAGATATGAATCTTAATATAGCATACAGCCTAGAATTAAATACATGAGTAGACCACTTTTGCAGCTTCAAAAAGACTAACAAATATACTTTTTTTAAATTGTTTTTTGACATAATGTAATACAGTAGCACATGACTACAAGTTCGTATACATCTGTAGTAACTTTGTAATTATTAGAATAGCAACATTGTTGTTTCTTAGGACTTTGGAAATTGCATTGTAATTGCATAATAATGGAGTCCTTACATAAGTCACTATACTCGTGTACAGTAGTTACAAAAATTCTTGCTATTCAATTAAAATGCATTTAACAAAGTATTACGTAGCAACATGCTAATAAAATGTTGCTCCAAAAGTAATTACAGTTTTATTTCACAGGCACAAGAACAGTGTAGTGTTAAGTGTTACTGAGAATGCTAACAGTAACAAAATATGGCTATTAAGTGTCGAAAGGAAACCAAATATCCCAAAACTGCATTCTTGAATCAACTACAGGTAGGTGGACAATCCTGTTAATTTGTATTCTGAGTAAACTATCCCTTTAAAGATGTATAGTGTGTGTTTGAAACAAGAACACTTACCCTCAGACGGACAAAGAGGTTCGAAGTTGTTTTAACTAAGCATCCAACTTCCTGTTTGCAATGTTTCCAAATGGCTTTGAATTACTTTGCACCTCATAGTGTGGAAACATATACAGTGCATTTGGAAAGTATTCAGACTTTTTCCACATTTTGTTACGTTATGGCCTTATTCTAAAATGTATTACATTGTTTTTTTCTTTCCCTCATCAATCTACACACAATACCACATAATGACAAAGCAAAAATAGGTTTAGAAATGTTTGCAAATGTATATAAAAAAAAGCTGAAATATCACATCTACATAAGTATTCAGACCCTTCACTCAGTACTTTGTTGAAGCACCTTTGGCAGTGATTACAGCCTCGAGACTTGTTGGGTATGACGCTACAAGCTTGGCACACCTGTATTTAGGGAGTTTTTCCCATTCTTCTCTGCAGATTTTCACAAACTCTGTCAGGTTGGATAGAGAGTGTCGCTGCACAGCTATTTTCAGGTCTCTCCAGAGATGTTCGATCGGGCTCTGGCTGGGCTACTCAAGGACATTCAGAGACTTGTCCCGAAGCCACTCCTGCGTTGTCTTGGCTGTGTGCATAGGGTCATTGTCCTGTTGGAAGGTGAACCTTCACCCCAGTCTGAGATCCTGAGCGCTCTGGAGCAGGTTTTCATCAAGGATCTCTCTGTACTTTGCTCCGTTCATCCTTCCCTCGATCCTGACTAGTCTCCCAGTCCCCACAGCATGATGCTGCCACCACCATGCTTCACTGTAGGGATGGTGCCAGGTTTCCTCCAGACGTGACGCTTGGCATTCAGGCCAAAGAGTTCAATCTTGTTTTCATCAGACCAGATAATCTTGTTTCTCATGGTCTGAGAGTCCTTTAGGTGCCTTTTGGCAAAGTCCTTTAGGTGCCTTTTACTGAGGAGTGGCTTCCATCTGGCCACTCTACCATAAAGGCCTAATTGGTGGAGTGCTGCAGAGATGGTTGTCTGTCTGGAAGGTTCTCCCATTTCCACAGAGGAACTCTGGAGCTCTGTCAGAGTGATCATCTGGCTCTTGGTCACCTCCCTGACCAAGGCCCTTCTCCCCCGATTGCTCAGTTTGACCGGGCGGCCAGCTCTAGGAAGAGTCTTGGTGGTTCCAAACTTCTTCCATTTAAGAATGATGGAGGCCACTGTGTTATTGGAGACCTTCAATGCTGCAGAATGTTTTTCGTACCCTTTCCCAGATCTGTGCCTCGACACAATCCTCTCTCGGAGCTCTATGGACAATTCCTTCGACCTCATGGCTTGGTTTTTGCTCTGACATGCACTGTCAACTGTGGGACCTTATATAGACTGGTGTGTGCCTTTCCAAATCATGTCCAATCAATTGAATTTACCACCAGTGGACTCCAATCAAGTTGTAGAAACATCTCAAGGATGATCAATGGAAACAGGATGCACCTGAGCTCAATTTCCAGTCTCATAGCAAAGGGTCTGAATACTTATGTAAATAATGTATATTTCTATTTTTTATGTTTAATAAATTAGCAAACGTTTCTAAAAACCTGTTTTCGCTTTGTCATTATGGGGTATTATGTGTAGATCAATGAGGATTTTTTTAGTTAATTCATTTTAGAATAAGGCTGTAACTTAACAACATGTGGAAAAAGGGAAGGTGTCTGAAAACTTATCCAAATGCACTGTATAAAACACAGGAAAATCCCTTTTTTGAATGCACTGGCCTTTAATAAAAGGAGGGGTACACAAGTTCACTGTTGAGTTAGCAGAGATTTAAGGTTTCATCTCAAGACTCTGTGGAAGGGAGCCAAACAGTGACTCGTGGCTATGGTATTACAGCAAAAACACTATATGACATAAACTATCAGATTATGTCAACAAGGGAAGTCTTGAGGCTAGCATTCCTCTGTTTTATAAAGCAGGACTTTTATGTGTTTTATGAGCATTGCATACAAAGCATCAATCAATCAATCAATCAATTTTATTTTATATAGCCCTTCTTACATCAGCTAATATCTCGAAGTGCTGTACAGAAACCCAGCCTAAAACCCCAAACAGCTAGTAATGCAGGTGTAGAAGCACGGTGGCTAGGAAAAACTCCCTAGAAAGGCAAAACCTAGGAAGAAACCTAGAGAGGAACCAGGCTATGAGGGGTGGCCAGTCCTCTTCTGGCTGTGCCGGGTGGAGATTATAACAGAACCATGCCAAGATGTTCAAAAATGTTCATAAGTGACAAGCATGGTCAAATAATAATCAGGAATAAATCTCAGTTGGCTTTTCATAGCCGATCATTAGAGTTTAAAACAGCAGGTCTGGGACAGGTAGGGGTTCCATAACCGCAGGCAGAACAGTTTAAACTGGAATAGCAGCAAGGCCAGGCGGACTGGGGACAGCAAGGAGTCACCACGGCCGGTAGTCCCGACGTATGGTCCTAGGGCTCAGGTCTCTCATCAATAAGGGTTGCAATGTTATATGGTGAGACCTAAAATGTTGCTCATACAGTCTAAGTGATTTGTTTAAAACATTAATAAGGATGCATCCAATGTTATTGTCTCAAATGTTGATTAACTATTTAAAAGCCTCAACTCTGAATAACCGGTTTATAGATATGTGTGTTGCCTTTCCTTGATACCTTTCAGGGCGGCCGGTCGCTATACTCTTCTGTCCCAGACATTGGACTTCATGAAGTAGGTTATGTTTGACATATGGCCTGATTGAGATATTGCTTACTGTCTTGTGCAACCCCTTTGCAAATAAGGCCAAGCACTGACCATAAACATTTAACATGCATCCTTCTTTACTTCCTCAAAGTTATCAATGATCTGACATCACCGCTGGATAGGTGAAAGCTACTTACTGTACTGGAAGGCTGTCTTACACCCATCCCTATTGTGTCAGATCAGTGATTAAGAAGGAAGGATGGGTGCATGTTACTGTAAACCCATTCAAACAGACATCATTTCACTTTAATATGCCATTTAGCAGACGCTTTTATCCAAAGCGACTTACAGTCATGCGTGCATACATTGTTTTGTTTTTTTGTTTTTTTGTGTATGGGTGGTCCCGGGGATCAAACCCACTACCTTGGCGTTACAAGCGCCGTGCTCTACCAATTGAGCTACAGAGGACCACAAGACACTTTCACAGTTACACAGAGCCTACCAGCTGAAGTACAGTGCTTTCTCTTATTTGTATAGGGTTGCACAAGACTTAGTTATACTTTCTCTGAGTATGTTCAAGGAAAGGGAGGATATAACCAAGGAAGTGAGAAAGGAAAGATGCATTCGAACAGGGCTGAGGTGATGTTGTTTTTCTGTTTACTCACACATTGTTGTAGGTGTCTCCAGTGTATACACTGCTATCGGCCATGGTCGGGTAGGAGATGACACTATTGGCAGAGGCATTGAGGGGGACGGCCTTCTCCGACAGCACCACGGTAGGTGCACTCTGGGTACTTTGTCCGTCCTCCACATTATTTACCTAAAGCAGCCAGAAAACACACACAGAGAGGGGCCTCTGTCAGCAGCACACACTAACAAACACAAACAAAGAGGTGACTTACAGTTGAAGTCGGATGTTTACATACACCTTAGCCAAATACATTTAAACTCAGTTTTTCACAATTCCTGACATTTAATCCTAGTAAAAATTCCCTGTCTTAGGTCAGTTAGGATCACCACTTTATTTTAAGAATGTGAAATGTCAGAATAATATTAGAGAGTGATTTATTTAAGCTTTTATTTATTTCATTGCATTCCCAGTGGGTCAGAAGTTTACACACACTCAATTAGTATTTGGTAGCATTGCCTTTAAATTGTTTAACTTGGGTCAAACGTTTCGGGTAGCCTTCCACAAGCTTCCCACAATAAGTTGGGTGAATTTTGGCCCTTTCATCTGACAGAGCTGGTGTAACTGAGTCAGGTTTGTAGGCCTCCTTGCTCGCACACGCTTTTTCAGTTCTGCCCACAAATGTTCTATAGGATTGAGGTCAGGGCTTTGTGATGTCCACTCCAATACCTTGACTTTGTTGTCCTTCAGCCATTTTGCCACAACTTTGGAAGTATGCTTGGGATCATTGTCCATTTGGAAGACCCATTTGCGACCAAGCATTAACTTCCTGACTGATGTCTTGAGATGTTGCTTCAATATATCCACATACTTTTCCTTCCTCATGATGCCATCTATTTTGTGAAGTGCACCAGTCCCTCCTGCAGCAAAGCACCCCCACAGCATGATGCTGCCACCCCTGTGCTTCACGGTTGGGATGGTGTTCTTTGGCTTGCAAGTTTCCCCCCTTTTCCTCCAAACATAATGATGGTCATTATGGCCAAACAGTTCTATTTTTGTTTAATCAGACCAGAGGACATTTCTCCAAAATGTACGATCTTTGTCCCCATGTGCAGTTGCAAACCGTAGTCTGGCTTTTTTATGGCGGTTTTGGAGCAGTGGCTTCTTCCTTGCTGAGCGGACTTTCAGGTTATGTCGATATAAGGACTCGTTTTACTGTGGATAAAGATACTTTTGTACCTGTTTCCTCCAGCATCTTCACAAGGTCCTTTGCTGTTGTTCTGGGATTGTTTTGCACTTTTCACACCAAAGTACGTTCATCTCTAGAAGACAGAACGCGTCTCCTTTCTGAGCGGTATGACGGCTGCGCGGTCCCATGGTGTTTATACTTGCGTACTATTGTTTGTACAGATGAACATGGTACCTTCAGGCGTTTGGAAATTGCTCCCAAGGATGAACCAAACCTGTGGAGGTCTACAATTTCTTTTCTGAGGTCTTGGCTGATTTCTTTTGATTTTACCATGATGTCAAGCAAAGAGGCACTGAGTTTGAAGGTAGGCCTTGAAATACATCCACAGGTACACCTCCAATTGACTCAAATTATGTCAATTAGCCTATCAGAAGCTTCTAAAGCCATGACATCATTTTCTGGAATTTTCCAAGCTGTTTAAAGGCACAGTCAACTTAGTGTATGTAAACTTCTGACCCACTGGAATTGTGATACAGTGAATTATAAGTGAAATCTGTCTGTAAACAATTGTTGGAAAAATGACTTGTGTCATGCACAAAGTAGATGTCCTAACCGACTTGCCAAAACTATAGTTTGTTAACAAGAAATTTGTGGAGTGGTTGAAAAACGAGTTTTAATGACTCCAACCTAAGTGTATGTAAACTTCCGACTTCAACGGTATGTTAGGAGCCAGTTTTCATGCTAACTTCCTAGCATGACCATAGGGCATTTCCATCTAAAAGGACCCATGAGCATCAACGTGAAGTTCATAGGAGCATGTCAAATTGGGTGTCAACTGAAAGCTAAGAGTCTATAGTTTTGAGAAATTAAGGCATATATACATTTTCCAACCATTTACCATCCAAAAAATTTGGATAAGCAAAGGCTTTGATTTCTGGATAAACAGATGGAAAGGGGGTCTTAGACAACATCTACCAGATAAAGTCTTAAAATTAGAAATACATCAAAACACAATAATGTTGAAGTAAAGACCCCTGGCGACTAATATCAACACTTATATTGAGTTTTGGATAAATTATTTGCGTTCTGTAAATTTAAGAAACATCGCCTTGTGCCTTGCAATTCCGTTACCAAAAACCCACATATCTTTAAGATATTTTCCAATTTCTCTCCCTCATGAGGAAGGAGGATAGTAAAAGTTAACAGAAGTAACAAGTAAAGGTAAACCTACAAATTAGTTATAGTGTTTTTACTGATCGCACGTTTTTTAAATGAATTATTAAATTATTGAAACTCGTAATTCGGTTGCCAAATCGGTAACGGAACTAACAAAAAATCAGTAACGGAATTATTGCAATTGAATTGGCTACAATGGGAATTCATAGAAGTCACAAACCACAGTTGGGTCACCTGCTACTGTCCTCCCTTCCGCTGGCATACTGTTATATTCAGCTCCTACGTTTTTTTTCTCTTTCTGTCATCTGGTGGTCGAAGCAAGACTGTGAATACAGCCTGGACAACCCCTCCCTCTCATTCTCCCTCTCTCTCTCTTTTCTCTCTCTCCAGTTAATGTAATATCTCCCGGCTCTTACTGACACCTCCCATGACACCTACCACCTACTCTCTTTCCATTTACTGTAACAAGCATCCTCACCCACTGAGCACCAGCCGACACCGGAAGTCCATGGACTTTGAAAAGTAGCTGTAATTTGGTCAGTCCGCCCTGGCTGGACCAAATCTGAACCAATCATAAACGTCTATGTTTCACAAGTTTGGACAGCACAGTACAGTAGAACACAGTAGAAAACAGTACAGTAAAGTAAAGAAAAGTACAGTACTGTACAGTAGAGTTCAGTACAGTAGAGCACACTAGAGTAGAGTACAGGAGTTAGGAGGCGCCGTGTCGTCCACTATTAACACAACGTCTCCAGCGGCGAAGTTACGTGAGGCATGTAACCACCTCTGGCAGTCCTGAAGTTGAGGTAAGTATTCCGTCATCATTTGGCCACTCCTTTGGTGAGAAGGTCTGGCCCTTGAACAACTTGAAGGTGTCGGACTGGACACACCCAATGCACGTTCCACAGGGAGTGCGTCTTGATCCAGGCCCAAGTCCTTGACCTCCTTCGCTCTCTCTTGTTCAGGAATAGCAGACAGTATGGTACAACTGTTGCTCACCCACTTCGTCAAGCGGAATCATCCCTTTCCACAGATGGTTCTCAGGTCATGATAGAGTGACACAGCTTTCTCTTCTGAGCTGACTGACTTTAGACAGTTATTGATGTAGAAGTTATGAAGAATCGTATCGACCACCTTGGCATCAAACTGCTCTTTATTGTCTTCGGCACACTTTCTTCTCAAGTTGAGAGCACGCTGTTCCGCTACTTTGTTGTTGTTCGCCATGTTGATCACCTCCTTCCTTAGAGGCAGACCAATGGTGTAATGCCCGTCCATAAGTCTGGCAGACTATGAGACCTTGTCAATAAACTGGAGATCTTGTCTTGACATTTCCAGCTGGTCGTCCTGTCTACACACCGGGAAGTTGTTCTTGAACTGCTGATTCCACAGCTCCTCCAGTATGGCCACTGATGGGTTGGTCGTAACCTGGATCAGTCTGCTTCTTGTTTAGTTTCTATTGTCTTCTCTGAGCGATCCATTCACTGTCCATCCCAGCCTGGTTATCACTGCACATGGCTCCATTGCCTTAGGTTTGTTCGTCTCCTAATGAGCAGACCTATTTCTGTGTCAATCCGAGGAAGTTGAACCTCTTCTAGGTAAAACCCCCTTTCCACATCCTCTTGAGCGGAATGTTATCCTTGCTCACTGGAATAGTCTTCTGAGAGAAAACATCTGGAACAAAGAGGAAGTTGTTGTCTTCCAAACTGCTCACCTCCAAGCCTGACACAACCTGGCTGCCAACAGTTGACTCTTGTCCCATGGTTTTCAACAGTATGTTGATTTTCCTTCCGTTGAAGTTGAGCTCGCTCATAAGCTCCTCGGTGCAGAAAGTTGCTATACTGCCAGGGTCAAGGAAGGTGTAAGGTAGTCACCACTTTATTGCCCTTCTTCAACTTTACTTGAACTGGAACAATAGCCAGAATGCCATCAGTGTCACCAGCCCCGGTGCGGCCACAGGTCTATGTTCCAATGAAACCACTGGTGACTGACTGTTTTTCACCATCATCCAATTGCTCTTCCTTGGTGGTGGCATTCTCTTTGCTCTAAATGTGCAGCACAGTGGGGTGTGTCAATTAACACATTTGGCAGCTGATCCTCTCCGTATATGTCTTACTCAGGTGGCCTTGTTTCAAACAGCCGAAGCATAGTCCTTTGCTTCGTAGAAAGTCAAGCTTTTCTTAGTGCTGAGACTTCTTCATCTTCTTACACACCTCCATGGTATGTTCACCCTGACAGAAAAGACAAGGCTTGATAAACGCGTTGACAGGAACGGCAGAGTCTTTCTTCCTTGGCTTGGACTGCTTTTTGCCTAGTTGTCCACTGGAGCGGCGGCTGTAGCGAAACTCTTCTTCCTACCGTTTTTCCTGTTTGACTTGGAGCCTTCGTCCGACTTTTCCTGTCTTTTAGGTGCAGAGGAGTCCTTTAGATCTCCGAACAGCGGGTGCAGCACAATCTTAGCTTGCTTGTTAACAAAGGTGACAAGGTATTTGAACTTCGCTCTTCGTCCTTTCTGTTCCTGGATGTCATACGCCACGCTTCTCCACCTTTCTCTCAACTTGTACGGAAGCTTGGTAATGATAGTCCTCATGTTCACTGTATTGTCAAGCTCCTCCATGTACTCCACGTCTGTCATGACGTTAAGACATCCTGTGAGGAAGAGGGCGTACGAGTGAAGTACCTCTCCATCATCCGACTTGATAGTAGACCAACTCTGAGCCTTTTCTATGTAAGCCACAGAGATCTTGTATTCGTTCCCGATATGCTCTGCCAAGAGCCTATTTGCTTCTTGATAGCCACGGTCTGAATCCATGTTTAAACAGTGGCGGATTAACTCTCTGGGCTGTCCACTGGTGTACTGCTACATAAAGTAGAGTCTTTCTTTACTGCTGTCTGTCCTATCCTCCACTCCATGTTCCCCTTTGAAGACGGGAATTTTATGTTGAGGTAGGGTAGACAGCCTTTGTTGTTTCACCAAGAACTCTGTGATGTTGTTTTAATGCCGTATGACACGGTACAAGTCCCGGTTACATCACCCTCTGGCTAAGTAGTACTGGTAGGTAGTCTTTGATTACTGCAGCAAGGGTAGTTCGGTCTCTCCATCAGTACGTACTGCAGGAGAGGTAGGCTTCCTTTGACGTCCAGTAATGGAACTAGATTGCGTGAAGATGAAATACATAACGATGTGAACGGGGCATCAGGCTGTATGGTAGACGCACTTCACTCACTCTAGTTAAACGACCACGGACTCCGGCGTAAAAAGTTTCCAGTCACAGGTTTCCAGTATGTACAGGTATCCACAGATCTTCAGGTAAACTAAAGTTAAGTGTCTTCAGGTATGTACAATTATTTCCACACGTTTAATAAAAATGAGGACATGTTCAGAAAACAGTATGGCTCTATATTTAAACTACAATTGACAAAAAAAACTGTTAGAACTAGTGTTATAACATGTAAAACAAAGAGCCCAAATTAAAGGAGCAGGAGCCGCTGCATGATCTCTTAAAGAGACAGTATCCAATTTAAAAAAGCATGAGAAAACTGAAACAATGTAGCTTATTGAAACAAACAATGAAACATGAAGTAAACCAATAAATGTCTCTTATACTACAAATGTAGGCAAAATCCTAAATCAGCACCCACACCTATTTCCTTTGGTTACTAAACAAATGACCATCAGGTCAATTCTGTTAGCTATTTTAGCAGGAAGCTATCACTGTCCAGCTCTAGCCTTATCATTGATGTAACTGCAATGACTTAAAAAAATCTATGATATGACAGTTAGCCTTGATTCTATTTGAACATCCTCTTTTCGTTAAGAAAAGGGCTTGCATCTTATGTACAATACTCCTCTTTCCGCTTCTCGATACAAAGAAAATGGTCACTGGGATATACTGTAAACAAGGAAATCTATATGATCAAGTCCATCCTGTGCGAGTCGAGAGGTGGTGTGAAGTTTGTTTCCACAATAAAGGCCTCAGGATGGGTTCACACAGGAGGCCTAATCAGTTTGTCGCTTTTTAAAATGTCTGTCTACAACAATGCAATTGAGTGTGTATGTACACTACCAGTCAAAAGTTTGGACACACCTACTCATTCAAGGGTTTTTCTTTATTATTATATATTTTTTACATTTTAGAATAATAGTGAAGACATCAAAACTATGAAATAACAAATATGGAATCATGTAGTAACCAAAAAAGTGTTAAACAAATCAAAATATATTTGAGATTTGAGATTCTTCAAATAGCCACTCTTTGCCTTGATGACAGCTTTGCACACTCTTGGCATTCTCTCAACTAGGTTCATGAGGTTGTCACCTGGAATGCATTTCAATTAACAGGTGTGCCTTCTTAAAGGTTAACTGGTGGAATTTATTTCCTTCTTAATGCGTTTGAGCCAATCAGTTGTGTTGTGACAAGGTAGGGGGGTCTAAAGAAGATAGCTCTATTTGGTAAAAGACCAAGTCCATATTATGGCAAGAACAGCTCAAATAAGCAAAGAGAAACGAAAGTCCATCATTACCTTAAGACAAGGTCAGTCAATATGGAAAATGTCAAGAACTTTGAACGTTTCTTCAAGTACAGTCTCAAAAACCATCATGCGCTATGATGAAACTGGCTCTCATGAGGACCGCCACAGGAATGGAAGACCCAGAGTTACCTCTGCTGCAGAGGATAAGTTCATTAGAGTTACCAGCCTCAGAAATTGCAGCCCAAATATATGCTTCACAGAGTTCAAGTAAAAGACACATCTCAACATCAACTGTTCAGAGGGGACTGTGTGAATCAGGACTTCATGGCCAAATTGCTGCAAAGAAACCACTACTAAAGGACACCAATAAGAAGAAGAGACCTGCTTGGGCCAAGAAACACGAGTTATGGACATTAGACCGGTGGAAATTTGTCCTTTGGTCTGGAGTCCAAATTTGAGATTTTTGGTTCCAACCGCCGTGTCTTTGTGAGACGCGGT